TGTTACAGCAGCACTAGATAACTAAGACATCTTAGCCTGGCCAGGAACCTGCCTGACACCTCCAGTGAAGCCAGGTTCCTGAGGTTCAGCATGCTAGTGTTCTGCAAGAGTCTGGGTCACCTTCCTCCCTGTCTACCAGAGTACCAAGGGGAGAGCCATGGTGGCCATGGAGATCTTCTCCATCTTGACCTCCAGTGCAGGGCTGCTAGGCTGCATCTTTGCCCCAAAGTGCTACATTTTTCTGATAAAGCCTGATAACAACTCTTTAAAGAACTTAGGGATAAAATTGATTCCAGGGGAAATAGGTGTTCTAAGGATTTCTCTCACAAGTCTCTATCACATTTTTAAGCTTTTGAACAACAGACCACCCTGTTTTTTGCAATCACATATCATGCAATAACTGAAATTGCTTTACTTCTTTATTTATCAACAAGTTCTCTCTCTCTCTTAATCCTGTGTACAACTACCCTAACCAGCCTTCATGACTCATAAACAGGAATGTTATCTCAGATTAACATGCTATCATCAAAAATGTTGCTTTTGAATTGATTTCTACATTTTCTTTTACTGAGAGATATTTATCTGCGTATTGACTCTACAAAGGCATTCAACTGTGTGGATCATAACAAATTATGGATAACACTGAGAAAAATGGGAAATTCCAGAACACTTAATTGTGTTCATGAGAAACTTGTATGTAGATCAAGAGGTAGTTGTTCAAACAAAACAAGGGGATACTGTGTGGTTAAAAGACAGGAAAGATGTGCATCAGTTATATCCTTTCACCATACTTATTCAATCTGTGTGCTGAGCAAACAGTCCGAGAAGCTGGACTATATGAAGAAGAACAGGGCATTAGGATTGGAGGAAGACTGGAAAACTCATAAACAATCTGCGTTATGTGGATGACACAACCTTGCTTGCTGAAAGTGGAGAGGACTTGAAGCACTTACTGATGAAGATCAAAGACTACAGCCTTCAGCATGGATTACACCTCAACATAAA